AGCGGACTCGGCAGACGGGGCGTAGACGTGCATTATTAGGTGGGTGCCGGAACACCCGCGGGAGCCGCGTTGTGGGGGGTCGGAGGGGTGCGCGTACGTCATCACCTGAGGCGTGCCCTTGAAACCGTCGTCGCATTCATTGCACCCGGATGCGGGCTGTATCTCCGACTCCGTATTACCGCACTCAAGATGTCGCCAACCTATGTACAACTTAGTTGGCAAAGTCAAACGCAACACTTGCTTGCCCAGACAATAGCGCAAGTACGACGTAGTCATCATGACTGCCATCTTGAATATACGGGTTCAAGTTCACATTGTATTAATTTGTTGTAGACAACTTTATTTATGACCATACAGGGACCCTAAGCTATAATCGCGGAAGGTACGTCGCACTGTTCGCACATACATACTTCCCTAACAGTTGTCTGAAACCTGACTTTGAACAAATTTTATGAATATTGTCATAGAATGACAAATCTGTTCCTTACTAAAATCCTTTACAGTCTCTGGCAGCCATCACCTTCACAACCTGTTTTGAGTAACACTAGACTAGCAGATTGATTCCAGGTTCTTCATTTTCACGAAATACTTATTCGTTCCATTTTATCCTATGGCCCTTCTGCAATAAAAGGCAATTGTACAATGTTCGTGGGACAATTCAAAGAGACATGTGCTAAAGAAGTTTCAAGTCATCGACGAAGAAACGGTAAATAGAGAGCTGAAAGAACGTCATGTCATCCAGTAGTTCGTCGTTCATTTTAAACCTAATTCCTGCAACGAATGTTACCGTAAGTAAGTATCTGCTACGAGTACACTACACTATCCGAACCCAGATACCGTGTAAGTAAAGGCTTTAGCAAATGCACTGCACCCCCTAACCTCCCACAAATCGCATGCCAAACAGGTGATATACTTGGGTAACTGATACCATGTCCATTGTCCATTACCAATGTTTCTAAAACTTCTCTAAAATATCGACACTGAAAACCCAAATCCCATCAAAAACAATACTTGTCAAAAAAACCAAGTCTCGCAACTCAGTTGTTCTACGGTAAAAAGTTGTGAGATCCATGTAATACCAAGTCCAGGCCAGGAAATCTTTAACGTTTTACATAAATATATTGACTTGGCCATCGCACTAAATAATTTAATTTACACGTGTTTTCATGCACCAAGTGCAGTGCAGATCATTCTAAATAATTGGAAAATAAGATTTAGTAGCTTCGAAAGAAATAAGTCGATTTGAGTTAGCGTAAAATGTACGTACGTCCATAGCTTATTTTTGCAAACATAATTTTAGGAGTTGCATTTTGATGACAGCACGTAAAAAGTATGTCAATTGACTGATGTACCCCATTGTTAACCTTACAGCAAAATGTCAATCCTCGATGCACTCCATCACCAGTTCACCACTTATGCATTAACTGGAGATATTGTCGCCTCGGATGTGGAAACTTTATATCGCAGCTCACAACGCCACTCTTCTCTGGTAGCAGAGTTTTGAGCTGACACTATGTAGGTCACTGAAGAATTTTAAGAGACACTAGACTAGAGATTAGTACAGCTAGCTTATAAAGAAATAGAACGTCTCCCACCTACCATCCGTGGTCATTCTGTGGATATCAACCAACGTCGAATAGGAATTGAAATTCACAAAAAGCGACATCTTGCACTCAAGCATTTACATGTTCGATGCATTGGTTATAAAGAATAACAAGTCAAATTGTTTGGTAGACCGCCGAAATTACCTACAGCTCAGATGAAATATTGTTAGGCGTTTAAAAACCATCCCTAACTTATGCAAGAAAATAACAATGATGCATTCAATGAAAATATCTTTCTCTCTCGTTGCTTGAACATAATATCATGTTCTGCTTGCTTTCTTGAATGGTTTTACAGCAATGACATGATAGATAAGCAAATTGTAAATCGCAGGTAATTAGTGAAAATGCAAAGAATAAGAAACTATTCAATAAACTGCAAACAACACTCGACTAACTTTGGATGACGGTGTCCCGGGCGCAACATTTGACATTCTTTCACTATCTTTTATATCAATATTAGCGAACTAACACTGTTCTGCTTGTATAACTTCGTTGCTTTTTGCATAAAACAACTCATCATCATCATTTAGTAGGTTATAAAGTTGTAAACAGTATATTGATTTATCATTCTAGATTTTGATGAGTGAGTATGACTTTGCAGTAAGTTGTTCATTCCAGTATTTAATCCCCACTACTCATCATCATCTTTTTTTACATTAATACGAAAAATCATTGTCACCATAGTATGCTAGCACAGTGTAACTCCTTAATGACAAAGTATTTAACTTAACGTATTGTCGCTCTGTCATGCTTTCTCTCAAGTCTCAACACATCCGATAATTATTTAAAAATGATAAACCATGTCAAATTAAGTAATAATCCCATTTGCAGAACGATAGATACATTTACAATACAGGTATTCAGTATGAATCAGTCAAAGTACGCGAAGGTTCGAAGAAAGTCACAATATTATGGAAGAAAGAATAAGAAAGTAAATTCAGTTTCAATTTCAGTTCTTACTATTAAGCTAATTTTACGGAACTGCGAATTCAATATTATTTTAATCGTTCGATAAGAAATATTCTGTGGTTCGAAGGGCACATTTAACCGTGTCGTATCCATCGAGCCATATCAGAAAGTTTGACACTAAAAGTTGTTATTGCCCTCTTTCGTGTGACACGATATATGAAGTGTCATAACAATGGAAAGTGATGGAAATTTCTACGAAGACTAGTAAACTTCAGAGGCCCGGACACTTGCCAGGAGGAAAAATGGGACTCTAAATAAACTAAGTTTCACAGAGAATATTGGTTTCAAAACGGCCTCGTTCGGCGCCGAATCATTTCTTAACAGCGATTTCTACACGAGTTCTCTCCAAGAGGCCTGCTTCAGAACGTACCTCGGGCTCCGTTGCACAACGGGCTTACGTCAGCGAGCGCGAGGCACGGCTTACGTCATTCGAGCGTATCTTGAGCCTCCAAGGCAAGATAGAGCCTGTGCGTATGGCCGTTAGAGCCGAGTTGCCGCGAACGCCAGCTAAGTATGATAGAACGTTTATGTTCACGTGAGTGGATGGATGAGGCTCCGACGCGCCGCCGGCTCAACGATTCTGAGAAACGTTCGAGGCGGCTCTCTAGTTTCGGACTTGAATATGATTCTTATAACACTAGGGACGGGCTTATTTCGGCGAAGACACCGTTCCGAGAACGTTTCAGGTTGTTTTCACCAACATTGTACATATTTCAGATAGAAGCGAAGCGAGGGTTTGAAGAAAACATTTATTCGATATTAACTGAAGCTTGCTTTCTGAGAATGTGTATTTATTCTTGTTCAAAGTGAAATGTACAAAACTGAACTTGTATCAATAAATGTATCTTATTTTGTACAATCACAATGAAAATTAATTACCTACTTAAACAATTAACTTATTATAATAAAAATGTATTTTGTATTGTCATACTTATTTTTGTTTGTGTCGCTGAGAACAGTCGGGAAAGCCGTCTCGTTTATTTCAATTTTAGATAAATTGACGGTAACAAACAATAACAACACGTTACACAACCATAGTCTGACGAATATTTTGTCGCTAGTGTCGATGTTGTGACTGGTCGTGAGCATGCTCTTTGAAGGAAACTGAGATTTACTTTATTTAATCCTTAAAATGTGCCATAGAGAGAAATTACGTCGCCTTAGTATTTTAAAGGCGTGTTTTAACTGCATTTATTGTTATTATAATAATTAGTTAAAGATTAACCGAGAAGTATAGTTTGGTTTCGAAATGTTCCAAAAATTACATATTTTCTGGAATCACCCGGCCCGGGCGTGAATTATTTTAAACTTATTTGAGTGTACATATTGAAGTAGTCAAAGAGAAACAAAACAATGAATGATAAAATAAAACGTTATCTGTCTGGTGTTTTCTTCTCGGTCGTATGACAATATTCATTCCTAGGTGTTTCCTCTTGAATTATATTGAACCGAGTTTAAATGTAAACACAATATTCATAGAGGCATTTTACAAATGTACGTTAATCTGCATGTATAATGCGATGTAATGACTACATTTGTTTATAGTAATGGCTCCGTCTATTATATCAAGATTAGTTACGGCACGAGGGCATTGACCCGAATCCGTATCTTGGTCATCAATCAGAATTAATCCGCAGACCGCAGAGAACGCACACAAATTAATTTGACTGTGTACATAAGAGCACGTGCGATTACGTGTATATTGCATAATTTGGCATCGTCGTATAATTGATAACAATATGTTAGGTTTATAAATAACCAAATCTACAAAATTAGAAAGCTCACAAAGTATTTTCTATAACGGTATAATAAGATAATAAACAGATGAAAGCCGTCGTCTAAATATAGCGTATTTTCGAGCTTGTTTTCGCTGGTAAACGTGTAACATTTTTTCGTTCAAGAAATGTATTAACTCATGACTAACCTTGCGAAAAACAACGTTTTATTAACACAGCAACATTTAAAATGATGAATGAAATTCTATTTATCGACCAAACTAAAGGTTAGTCTCTTTAATTTTGACATCTAAATACCGGTGACTTCATCACTATGGAAAAAGTCCTCCTATAAAATGACATTCCCTAAAAGTACAGATGCTGCCTACAAAATATCGTTGCCATGCCATTTATTAATATGTTATTTTTACATTTTTAAAGCTAACAGTTCTTCTAGTTTGTGAGTATTTTACTCAAGATTATTTTGGTAAAATCCTTAAGTAAATAGATCAACCACCAGTTTAACTGTTAGGTAGTTGAATACAAATTTTCCAACGCTCTTTCCAAGTGAGATGACGAGCAACTATCCGTGGCCGTGAATCGTATAAAAGTGAACTTAACTTTTTAAAATACAGCTCGTCTTCAGATTTAGACCTACTTTAGACATAGAAAGTCCTTAGACCTCTCAATCTTCCCATCAAATGGATCATACCTGATGTGGAGAGAACGGCGGTCTCGAGTTTGGTGCACCAGGAGGTCCAGGCGGCGGCGGATACCTCTGAGGGTAAGAGCCTGGAGGGCCGTACCCGCCTGGGGGCTGCTGGGGCCCGCCGGGGCCCCCAGGCCCGTAAGGTGGTCCACCGTATCCCCTAGGCGGCTGAAATAAAAAAGAATAATTGTTTAATAATTGCTGATTTCTACACTCATAAAAATGTGTACCTAAGTACATAAAAAGTTTTCCAGAATAATGCATTATGAAAGAAAAAAATACTCGTGACACAGACTAAGGATAGGTACAATTCCACAGAGACAAAATAAAGATGTAACATTCAGTAACAGAAATATTGATATCGCAAAATGTTATGTTTGCACTTACACAGCGACAGATGTACCACCTAACTACATAATTTATGTATTTTTATGTGTGCAATAAAGATTTTAAATAAAATAAATAAATAAATAATTCATTTAAAAAACAAGCATAAAATTGTAATACATAATATTATCTTCTGGTATCTGAATAAAACAAATCATCGGAAAAACGATCAGAATCCAGAAAACAAAGACAGTCATGAAGAAAAGTTGTTGAAAATAAGAACAAAGTCAAATCTAGGCATTTGGAGAAGTGGTTTGAAGAACGCTTTGTTGGGTAAAGTATCAGTTCTGTGAAAGAGTTAACCTTGCAAACAGGACGTAGACAAAAGATGCCGCTCGAAAATAAGTTTCAACAAAGGAATTACAGTATGCAAGAAAAAGTTAAAAGAAATAAAAATCTGCTCTAATAAGAAATCGTAGTCCCTCTTGAAAATAAAGTAAGGTTTCCTAGAAATATGTGCGAGTACTTGCTTGTTAAAAATATTGGTGTCTTGTTTATAAAATAGTTTAGTTTAAAACATAACCTTTTAAAATACTCCTTTGAGTTGATAATAGTTTCATAGGTACTCGTACTTGAATACATTCAGATATACACGACCTATTCAATCGCATTTATTCCGGCCATCACATGGATGGAACTGAATTTTATTTACCTGTCTTTGAAGACTCCGCTTATAAATCATCAATCTTTCAGCCTAAAAACTTTCCTCGTACCAACAACTAAAATGTTTTTTCTGTTATATCAACTTTCAGCGAGATAACGTGTCTAAATAATTGACGTCCGAAATAATTCGCTGTGCCAACAAAGTCGCTCGCTTCAGTTTTCAGTTCTCATTTTGTTCTATGATGGAAATTCAATTATTCGTTCGAACCCCGTTTCGCCGGGCGGCGAGGGCCGCGCCGGGGACCGGTATTTACGCTTTGAGCGAATGCTTTATCGTCTTCCAACTACTGCCTTACGGTAGATGTTTCCGGGCATAGTTTGACTAGGAGATATGGTAGCTATGTTCGCCAATTAGAGTTACATTTTTACGAACATTGGGGTGTTTTATAGCGGATTCAATGATTTATGGGGGCGTTGTTACGGGGTGCGGTGCGCACGAGGGGCGAGGGGAAGGGGGGGTTGCGCAGGGTGCGGGCGTCAGAGGCGGCAGCGCGCCATTGGCCGACCCAGCATCGATCGCGCGGCGAGCTAGAAGCGGCCCGCCCGAGCCAGCCAGCCTCCACCTACGTTAATAAGTAATCATCCGACCCCGCGATACCTCAGCGAGTTTTCCGGACAGAGCTGGAGCCGCCGAGACGGGCCTCGTATCTCCAGTCGGCTGGAACAAAGAGCCACCGCATAGGGCGACATCCGTATTGATTTATGCAGTAATTGACCCGCGGGTAGGTGCGCAACTCGCGCACCGCCTCCACCCGCCACGCACCTACATATTTATATTTGCACGCAATGCCATATATGTAATAATAATAAACACAATACAATGCCATACATTTACATAGTCAGCAATCGGTAACCGACACACTTAGATAAGATTATGAAAAGCAAAAACATTGGCATAGTGACCTATTGCCTCGACGTTGAAACCACTTGAAAGGGCTTGATAAAAGTTCATAAAGATATAAAGGGGAGGAGGGCTTTTTGTGCCTCAGTCGGTCGGGATCACCCGTGTACAGACAAACCGCAAGTCCGAAACTAGACAAAAACATTATCTTGTAAGGTGAACTGTGCTGTTTGGATTTTGAAATATCACAAGAAACTTCAATTTAATTGAGATTAAAATGGTCTCGTAGAAGAGATAAAGATGTTGTGATCAACAAATTGACCATTTTGGTCATAAAAAACACACTTAGCCTGATTTGAAACATCATTGTCCAAATATTCAGTGTATTACAAATTAAATTGTAGATTTCTTATTAACTAGGAAGGTCTACTGACCTAATTTGAAGTTGAGGATTAAAATAATATAGGTATTTTTGAAAATAAGTAGATACGTCTACTTCAACATTAATTTGCTTCATGCAAACTTATTATGACCAAACATTAATACTGCCCAAGTAACATTTTACTCCATTTAAGAGTTCACATTTAGTTCCAATGTGTACTTAAAGCATTAGTACAGTTCACTCGTGATGTATAAGCTGTATTATTGCAATTAATTACACCTATACCTGTCTAAGGGACTTATAGGAGTGTAGACTAGTGTAGAGTTATACTTTTATACGATTGTTGGTGTTATAATACTCTAACAACTATCCTTTAGTCAGCCATCTGACTAAGAGCATTATAGGAGGGTAGAGATACGGCAACCGCTGTTTAACGGCCTACTTGTACGATGTTACAGAGCTAGCATTTTAATAGAACACACGTGGTCATTTATAAAGCCAAAGGCTGTTATGTTTACTTGTTTTAGACTGTTATACAGCTAGTAGCTGTAGTAGGACTTGTTTGTGGTAGCATTGGAGTACTTTTGTCGGACTTTATAACTTTGAAAGCTGTGCATTTAGCCACTTGTTACTCTTTATTGTCCTCACGTACGTTGTATGGTTCACACTGCGTCCCATATAGTGCCGTAAGTCAGCCTTAAGTACGATGTTACTACTTAAACTGCTATTATAATGCTATTATACTGCTAATGTACAGCCATAGTGAACTTAAAGCTGTCTAATTTGTGCCCAAACTGGTTCTATAAAAGCATTATAGCAAGCTATACAGCTCGCATACAGCTGACATACACAGCTTGTGGAGTACATGTGAACGACTATTGAACTCTTAAATGGAGTAAAATGTTACTTGGGTGTGTAGTATTTGGGTCGCTTTTTAACTACAGTTTCACGAGCCACACCTTTACAATTCGAAATCGAATATGCGCGGACCTTTCGAATAAAAGTTTTATGGTTACATTCACTTTTTAAACCAATTCTTAAGTTAGGGTTCTGCCTGTATGCCACCTTGCTATGATTTTATGGTAAAATTAGATAAGTACATACGTACTTGGAACTAGCCCTTAATTACATAACATAGTTGACTTCAGGAGGAGGATAATTAACCTAAATACAGCCTACAAGCGAAGCAAATTGTAATAAAAGTACCGGCAATTTATTGTTAAAAAAGAAACTAAAAATATATGAAGCCTTAAGTTTTGATAATAAAGAAGTATTTATAGACATCTTTCTTATCGAAGCGACGAAACTATTAACTTTAACATATCATAGGATCTTTGAGTAAACATGCAAAAAGCGGTACGCGGTATCGTTATGAAAATTTGTCAGGTTCTGAAATGCTTTGATACAGTAATATTTTAGATACACTATCTTATATGGGTAGTCTCTATCCGTTTCCCTTATTTCAAAAACCATGTAGTTTAACTTTATTTTTCTTATTCCAACATCTTAGTTTATAATAACTCCTGGTACTTATAAAATAAAAGAGTTTCAAACAAAAGACCGCTAGTAAATCTTTTAAGTTTTTGGTCTGAATAATACCTAGCACGAATATAAAAATATTGTTTTTATTTGCCTATAATAAATTCTGAAGAACTGAGCTGTTTATACTCGTAATAATTCAGAATAAAAGAATGTTAAGTAGTCTGAAAAATATCATTTTTAGCGTATTAAGAGATGTTTAAAGTAAGAAACTTTTTGCGCTTTTAACAATAAACGTTTTGTGATATTTTAATGAATTAGATAAGCATACAGCAAATAAAAATATACTAATAAGTAAATACAAGCGCAAGGATTCGGAAAATGGATGAATGGAGCAAAACTGCGTAGGATCGTGAGGATGGATGAATGTTTGTTATTCGTACAAAAACTACTGGACAGACATTGATGAAAATACAAACGTTTAACTTTTGATTAAATCCGTCACTAACAAACAGTACAGCCACCCAATTTCAGCCGATTTGGCAGGAAATAAATGGAAGGAGAAATTTCTTATTAAAAAAGATTTTATTATGTAAGGCAGGCTAAGGGTCGACTACAGATAAAAAACTGTCTCTTAACTCGTCTAATCCACCTACCATACTTAAAAGTTTTCTTGCGGTTTTTTAGATCGCGATTTTAGCTGTTCTAAACAATCATATTATTAGATTTCTCAAAATCAGGATAAAGATTACATGTCATTATGATATTCAGTGTTAATTGCCTGTCCGAATGGAGTCCGTGGATTATTTCTAGAAGCATTCTATAAATAACACGAATCAGGAACGTCCAACTTGGTGCAATTGCATCAAACACGGCAGTGCAAGTGCACGGCCGTTAGGAATGTGACCGGATTTCGATCCGGCGCGGGCGCACCACTCACCCACTTAGAGCAGTCATTATCAACGGCATAACATCAACCTTTTGTTACAAGCAGGCTGTACTGTGATACAATAGGTCATGCGAAGGTTTTCGCGAGACTGTTTGTTAGTGGCACTTCCTTGGTTTGGTTAGCTTTGACATTTTCCCAGTTCATAATTTCGTTAAATTTGTTTCAACTAAAAGTTAACATTTTTATAATCAACACATGAAAATACAAATATGTATAGAAGAATGATAGTTTGAATTTAAACTACCAATGACTAATTCATCCATAAAAATGAGAGACATGATTTCACGAAAAAACACATTCTTGTGATCAAAACGGTCGTAGTGCTATATTGGAGCAATTACGTAGCATGTCTAACATCGTCAAGGTTAACTCGCCGGTCTATCAAAGAAACTAAAACAACATTAAATATACAAAATAATAAACACCGTTTAACGGAGTGAATGTTAATGACCTATGACTAATACAGA